TTAAATTGTCCTATTTTGAAAAAAAGGACAAAAAAAAAAAAAAACCCTCTTCCCTATAATGAGTCCTGAGACTAAGTTCCCGAGATTAAAGGAACGACGTAAACTTATTTCTTGGGTTTTGTTTTTTATTTACTTGCTGGAAGGCATGTTTGTTCTCCAGACTGGGTGTGGAAGAAAGAGGGAGAAAGCATCCTCAGTGGGCATGGTCATGCTGAAATCCTTTCTCCTCCATTTCTCTATCCTGTCAGGATTTTGGGTACACATGTACCCAGCATGTTTTTGAAGCCATTAAGGCCAGAATTTAAACCATGGTTGGCCATGTGGTATCCAGCTATCTTTTTTTCTTTTAAAGAATTATGTATTTCATTTATTTATTTATTATTTTTAATTTGACCAGAGAGAGAAAGGGAAAGTGAGGAAGCAAGCCACCAGGCCTAGAACTTGAACCGTGGTTGGCCATGTGGGAGTCCAGTGCCCTAACCACCATGCCACCTGCTAGCCTGGTATCCAGCTTTTTTTTTTTTTTTAAATAAAGATTTTTGCTATTAAATGCATGTGCTCATGAGAGAGAAAGAAAGTGAGAAATCATCCCCCAGGGGTATGGCCATGTCTCAATCCCGTCTCCATTCCCCTCTCAGGATTTTGGGCATGCACACATGTGCCCTGCATGAGTTTCAAGCCACTGGTCCAGGACTCAAACCACAGTCGACTATGTGGGAATCCAGCGACATAACCACTATGCCACCTGCTGGTCCCAGTATCCACCTTTCTTAATCACTAGGCTATGGGGCAGGCCCTACTGCTTGGGTTTAATCCCTATGTTCTGTTTAATACAACAATCCACTTATCTGTACACCTATCAGTCTTTTCAAGCAGCTACAGATCAAAGGAAAGACAAACAGCTGGATTCTCAAACCCATCACCACTTTTCATTAAGCAAAAATGACAAAATTTGTTTCAAAGCAAACATAAAAACATTCTTTTTTTTTTTTTTTTGAGAGATTTTCGCTATAGGGCGCGTGCGCTCGCCAGACAGAGAGAGAGAGACAGAGAGACAGAAAGCGAGAAATCACCCCCCAGGGGGGATGGTCATGCCGCAATCCCTTCTCCTCCATTCTCCTCTTGGGATCTTGAGCACACACGCACACACGCCCGGCGTGAGTTTTAAGCCACCGGGTCTGGGACGTGAACCGCGGTCAACTACGTGGGAGTCCAGCGACATAGCCATTACGCTAACTGCTGGTTCCCCATGAAAACATTCTTAAAGGAAGTTTACTAGTTAAGTTTTTTCTCCTGTTCTGCCATACCCATCCACACTGAATCCCAAAACTGGAACCGAAATGTACTTTAAAGCATGTGAAAGAATGAAAGGAATTTAATGAACACTAAGACCCAAGCACCTGCTGGAAAGTTCCTGTGGTTAGGTACATGAGCACTAAATGATAAGCTTGCAACCCACAGTGCAGGCATCTCCTACTGCGTTTCTATTAGTGATAATGAGGAGTGCAAGTGACAGTCTGGCAAAGTACAGACAGACAGTGCCCCCTGGAGTCCACTCTGTCTACAATGAGCAAATTTAGATTACAAAATTGGGGCTGTCATCAAGATCCACCTTTGCAAGGCCTAACTTATCATTCCTATGTTCTCTGCAGAGATTCTGCAGGAAGAAAAATTCTTGAACTGCAATAATAAATTTATTTTTTTAAACTTTCCACTGAAAGATTTTTATCATAAGACTTTAGTTCTAATTTAGGGTTTATACCTTTCTAAATATTATATCTGAAATTGAAATTTTTAAAATTATAAACAAATACATCTACTTGTTTTCTATAAGTTTTCTCTTCTTTTTTTAAAAAAAAGAATTTTTTTAACTTTATTTATTTATTTATTTTAATTTGACCAGAGAGAGACAGAGCAAGAGAATGAGGGTGAGACAGAGAGAGAAAGTGAGAAAGTAAGCCACCAGTTCTGGGACTGGAGCCACAGTCAGCAATGTGGGAGTCCAGCACCCTTAACTACCACACCACCTGTCAGCCCCTTTTCTTCTTCTTTACCTTAAAGGCTAACCAGTTATTCCTAAAATATGGTAAAAAATGTTTTGAAATGTCCTCCATAAAATATGCAAAATCACAAGAACCATTCTATATGATGAAATCATGGGTAATTTCTTTCCTCCCTCTTCACATTTTTTTTTTTCTTTTTAAAAAAGTATTGTTGGGGTGAATTGTGAGTGTCTCCTGCTGTGGCGCTGCCTCTGCAGCTCTGGCTGCAGTGAGCTAGGCGGCCGGCATGGGCTGGTCTCAGAATTTATCCCACAGCTTGTGGAGAGTGCTGTCAAAGGAAGTGAAGGTGCATGTGGGCACTGATGCTCTCGGGAACAAGTACTACTATGTCCCGGAGCACAAGAACTGGAGAGGACAAATTACTCGAGAGAAAAGAAATGTAGAAGCAGCAAATAAAAAAGAAATAGACTATGAAGTAGGAGATATCCCACCAGAATGGGAAGTTTGATTAGAAGAAGAAAGACTCCACCTACAATGGGAGTTCAATACCCGTATCAGCAACTTAGCCTTAATATACAAGATGATACCATGAAGAAATTTAAGGAAGTATTGGGAGCAGGTGGCGTGGTGGTTAAGGCGCTGGACATTCCCACATGGCTAACCATGGTTCAAGTCCTAGACCTGGTGGCTTGCTTTCTCACTTCCTCTCTCTCTCTCTCTCTCTCTCTCTCTCTCTTTGGTCGAATTAAAAAATAATAATAAATGAATGAATAAATTTTAAAATTAAATAATTTTTTAAAAAAAGAAATTTAAGGAAGTATTAGAGAATGAAAAATATAGAGAAGTCAAAATAAAAAAGTGAAGATCTTTATGAAAAAGAAAAACTCATCAGTAAAGAGACCAATGAGGAACTTTTGGCTCCACCAGTTCAAACTCAAATTAGAGAGCATGCCTCTGCTACATACTTCAGAAAGGAAGAACCCCCCAGTGGCTGCCACCAGTACTGGTAAAATGTTTCAGCCAGGTTCCTGGATGCCACAAGATTGCAAGAGCCACAATCAGTGAATACACTGTGATGAAATAATTTCATTTATATGAATGTGACTATTTTGACAAATTAAAGAAGAACTAAGTTAAAAAAAAAAAAAAAAAGTATTGTTGGGACCAGTAGGTTGCATAGTGGTTAAGGCTCTGGACTCCCACATAGTCAACCACAATTCGAGTCCTGGACCAGTGGCTTGAAACTCATGCCAAGTGCCAAGTGCATGTGTGTGCATACCCAAAATCCTGAGGAGAATGGAGGAGAAGGGATTGCAGTGTGGCCATCACCTCTGGGCATGATTTCTCACTTTCTGTCTCTGTCTTGCCAGTGTGAAAAAAAAAACTCTCAAGAAAAAAAGAAAAGTATTGTTTCAGGGCCAACAGATGACCTGGTGATTTCATTCCTGGACTCTCACATGGCCAAGTCCTGGATCTGGTGACTTGAAAATCATACTGGGCATGTGTGCATGAATGTCCAAGGTCCCAGGAGGAGAATGGATTGTGGTGTGGTCATCTCCCCGGGGCGGGGGGGGTGTTGATTTCTCACTTTCCTTCTCACTGTCTCTGTCTCTCTCCAGTAAGCAAATGCACCCTATGGCAAAAACCTCTTTTTTTTT